TTAAGCTCTTAATGCCCTCACAATAAAATCATTACACTAACCAAAGTTTCAGCGTAGCGTTCGCTATCATCATGTTCTTTCATGGGTGCATCACTTTTTCGAGGTGTTGGAGCCATTTGACTCTTCTTAAGAAATCGCCCAGGTCGTGGCGATTCAGAATGCGTCTGACGTAAAAACGAATACTTGAGCTAGCTGAAATAGGTTTTTCAATTTCTTACTGGTGAGGTTCCGTCGACAAATCGAAGCTCCACTCGTCTGTTGGGCAGTTCCTCCATTGCTTTCCCAGTAGATTGGGAGTATTTAACTCCTAATCCTAGAAAACAACTACTGTGCGAAAAATTCAAGCAAAAGGCAGTCTATTACAGACCAGAGATAACGTCCGGGTTTTGCTTCATATACAACATAAACAGTTGCTCTTCCACAGAATATGCTTGTCCTGTAGTGCCATTGTATTTCTGGCCGTTGACCGTATCTGTACATTGCTAATTTATGGTTCTTTATTTGAATTCATGAATGAATTTGATTATTCAAAATAAACCTATCAAAACTTACTGGTGTAACGAAGGTCTGCATAAGGTTTATTGTCAGTTGCATAGTTGGTATAGTTATTATAGTTTGTAGAAAACTGAAAACTATTCAAATAATTTAAACATCAAAGATGTACGCAAGAAAATTACTTGGTATTGCGGGCCTCGCTCATCACCGTGAGTTGTTCCATTGGAAGATGAGAACTGAGACTGCACAGTGCGGGATGAGTGGCCGGAGTGTCGTCGGGCTGGAATCGCACTTACATATCTTTTCCATGAAAATTTCAAACGTGACTTTTGGCGGTGTGGATTTGGATCTAACAAAAAGTGCCTTTATAATAAATATTGCAGATAATCCGCGCACATTTAAATCTTTGAAATTGTATGACTCTATATTTATATGTGGGAAATTTCAAGTAAGGTATAAAATAGAAAAGTTTTTCCACTTTCCATCAGCTAGGTTCTAAGAAACTTTATGAAAGTTAGAAAGTCAGTATTTTGAGACATCAATTGAGACATTTATAATGATATTGGAAAGATGAGCAAAATTCGCATTTATCTTGCTGGCAAAAAGATAATAACCATTCTCTACAATAATCTCGTCTGGATACGCTCAAATTGTAGATTCAAATAAAATTCAAATGCCGTTCTTGTCCTGTCATAGTACTGACAAAAATTGACGTAGTTTAGTTCTAAAGGTTTTTAAAAAAGAGCTCAGTGATCGACGCCGACTTTCAATCATGTCGAAATATTCTTGAGCCCTACCACTCTTTTTTTGATCCAACTATATCTTTACAAATGTAACTGTAATCCCAGTAATGCTTTTTTGCAAAGCTGCGCTAAAATGCTGTTCTTTTGTTTCCCTACTAACATTCAACTACGTAAGCTTTAGATGGTACTGAATTCCTTTTTAGTATAATGTTATAGATTTTTGAGCCAACTACTCATTGGTTTCTTGCCAAAGTTGCAGAAGTTTGAACAAAACCTCAGATAAGCTCTACCGAGTGAACCTTAGCGTAAGTTGGGTGGTAGGTCCCTCTTCAATACTAGCCTCATTCATCTACTTTCTACCAATAATTCTAGTCCTAAATCTTGTCACGAACCTAACTATTTTAGCATACAAAACGTAATACTTACTTCTGACTTCATTTGAGTTGCGACTCGGTTCAAATCGTTCTCTAGCTTCAGCAATATTTGCGATGGATTCTCTACTAACAGAACTCCGAATTTTATTGCGATCATACCTAAATGAGTTAACGTTTATTTGTTTGCACCAATCTCTACGTTGAGAAATAGACGCTATTGTGCACAACTAACTATTAAAAAGTGTTTTAGCCGGAGGAGGAATCTTTTCCTACGATTGTGTGAAGTTGAGGTTGGTACGGAAAAATTTGTTGATAAAACAAGATATTTACCATGGGGTATAGTCGACTTTGATGACAAGCGAATCTAAGCTCTTTCCTTTGCGAATACGTCGAGGAGGTTCAGCTTGCTCATGGATCAGTGCCTATAAGAGAACAAATCTTTCGTAGTAGGATAAATAAACAATAGAATCTTAGAAGAACGAGCTTATTCATTGAAGAAAAATTCTGTTATAATCAAGCTGTGTTTATAAATACTATATTTCTTGAATATCCCTTCCTAATGCCTAGTCAGAATTACCTTTTGCACTGCAGCCTCTTGATCCGTTTCTCGCATCTTTTGCAGTCTTTTCTCGGGAATTATGCTGTCTTTCGGAACATCAACACTATTGGAGGCAACTAGTGAAGCAGACAGAGCGTCTGTAGATCTCCATTTGGGAAAACTGTATGGCCTCATAGGATTGGAGCGCAAGTTTTCCCTCTAGAAAAAAAAAACGAAATTGCTTTATACTCAGTTCTTCATATCAATTGATACCCTTTCTTTTTCTTCAAGGGCTATATTGGCTTCCCAAAAATCTCTGACCCTCAACGAGCTTGATTGCATCGTTCGGCCAGCCAGCTGACTACACGGCCAAAACGAAGGAGTTTGTCGACCTAAAGTGGTAAGTTTGAAAT